GCCTGTGCCTATCATTTCTGCGCCAACTGCTTGCGTCAAGGCAAGTCTTCGACGTTCTGCGACCACGACACCAGCGGCTTCAACTGCTATGTGCCACCGCGCCGGTACCTTCTCGAGCAAGCGCTCGCCAATCGCGACAAGGTGGCTGTGGCCGAGTACGCTGCGTACTGCACCATGTACAACGTGGTGGACCCCGTCGAACCAATGGCTTATGACGAACCTATCGCAACGCGCTTGTGGCACCCGATGCTCTAGCTAACTGCGGTCTGTTGAATTGTGGGCACAATAATCAGAGGATTGCATTCTTGTCTATTGAATGGAGAGGCTTGACACCGCGGCGAAGGCGAGCGAAGCCGAGTGCAGCACCACGCTTGAATCGCCACGCCTGACAGCTCCCATCGCCGCACCTCCTTGGAGGACTCCAACCTCATCAGCATCCCTCGTTGCAGCCCGCAACGCGACGACGGTATGCCTCATGACTCATCGCTCGTCCTATGTAACTTGTCGCGCCAACTCAAAAAGGGTGCTTGGCATCTCTCCCGCGTTACGCACGGCCTCGCTACATTGTATGTATGGCGTGCTGCCATCAACGTCACGATCGAAGACATTGAGTTTGAGTTTGAGAAAAGATACCTTGACGTATCTATGCCCACCTTCTTTGACCACCTCGTCATTGAGTCTGGTGCTGTCGTCACTGGCCGCTGATTGGTAGAAAAGCGGCGAATTTGCACATTGGTCCCAGCGTCGCCAGGTGTCATTTCCCAAGAAGCAGCAGAGATGGCAGAGGAGCTCAAGGTGTTCACGGTCGACGAGGTCGCGGCCCACAAGACGACCGAGGACTGCTGGATCATCGTGGGCGAAGCCGGCGCCAAGAAGGTCTACGACGTCACCAAGTACCTCGACGACCACCCGGGCGGCCCGGAGATCATCCTCGACCTGGCGGGTCAGGACGCCAACGAAGAGTTTGAGGACATTGGCCACTCGACCGACGCGCGCAAGGCGCTCGACAAGTACCTCATTGGCTCGCTCAAGGAGGAGCCCAAGAAGGCTGCGGCCGCTAAGGCCGTCACCGCGTCCAAGGGCACCTCGGGCGGCAACCCGTCGCTCTTCCTCTTCCCGATCCTCATCGCCATCCTTGCGCTGCTGTACAAGATGAACAACTAGACGATTATGATAATGATGAAAAAGTATAGATACAGACAAATGTTGAGAACGGGGTGACCAACGAGGGCACGTGAATGCAGTCTTGCCGACGCATCGCTGCGGTGGAGGGTGTGTCTAGCACGATCCTGACCAAGCTGGCGATGGAGCAGTTGCGTACTCGCACGATGGGCCATCCCAGGTGGTGTTACCCAAATCAGTCGATATGCCCACAGCATAGCGCCAAAGGGACAGTACGTACGTCAAGCCAGCAAGGCCACGCTGCACCACATTCACACGCCGGCGTTCCTACCGCGCGTGTTTTCAATACCAGAAGTGCTGCAGCCATCGTCTGCGTGTCAAGGTAGCCTGCGACACCCGCGTGGGTCTCTAAAATCGTGCACAGAATTGTCCATTTTTAAACGATATTACTGTAGTCTTTCCACCGACTTGTGCCAGTTCAATGTTGTGCATCGCAAGCGTTTTGATGCGTCGTTGCATTATTTTTAGCGGAACGCATGAGTTGCTGGCGGATCGCCGACGACGTGCCCACCGCGCTTGTCGTCGCAGCCGCGATCGAGCGCTTCGCCAACGGCCCCGCCAACCCGACACAAGTCGTGCGCATCACCACATACCTCGCCGAGTACCATCCTCTCGCACGCCAACCTCCTAACCTTCTACTAACCAACCTCCTAGTCGCAACTGGTTCACACACGCCGCCGACCTTCGCGTCGCGATCGCCAACGAAGCGCAATGGAAGCTGTGCGTTGTGCTCTTGGCGTCGTCGCCACACTCTCACCTCGGCCATTAGGATGGAGCTACCGATTCGACTCAAGCTCGCGCTCGAAGAAGTGCTGTGCGAGTGGGACACCTTTCCACCCGAGACGTCGTCGTCGATTGGAGTCCCCGTGGCCCAAACGGTCGCGAATAATGGGAGCTACAGCGCCAGCTACGACTGGGTGTGTGTCGCGTGCGGCACCGAGAACCGGTTCGAAGACTCGTTCTGCGTCACGTGCTGCGAGCACTACTCCGTGTCCGTACCCGACGCTGGCGCGCCGTCTGCCCCCGAGTTTGACGCCTCGATGGTACAGTAATTGCCTCGAATGGTCTGACATCGTGCGACCTTGTCTTAGGCGATGCCATTGGACGCGGACTGCAACGCGGTGGAACTGTCTCTGCCCGACTCGGTACCAGAGTGGTCTCGGCAATGAACTTGCATGGATTGAGGCTGCTGTGTAGGCCCCGCAGCCTCCCCCGCGCCAGCCGAGGTAGCGTCAACAGGACAGTTGTCGACTCATGCTCGCAGTACTGTTGATGACACAGGAGATGCTGATCATCCCGGTGCCAGTGCTCGACGCGGCATCGGAGCGATTCAAGGCGCTAGCGTTCGCAGCTGCCAGCAGCCCACCTTCCCCAGCCTACATATAATAGGACGAAACAAGATCTGATATACTGCAATTGCGGCGCGAGGACCCACGTGTACTACGGCGCTGCGACCAACGCCTTCCATCGATCTAGCAAAATGCGAGCATGCGCACAACGCGCGATGGTCAGATGCCCCTTGCCGTCGTCGAAGTTGTAGCACAGAGCTCATTGGTGTAGCTCCAAGACACACAAGAGCGGCGTAAAACTGTATTGAGATGAGAGACTAGCAGGGCAGCGTCCAGGACGGCAGTTCTTGCTGAATGCGCACGGGCGGGTACACCGATGGACACTGGTAGATCAACGCCATCGCTGGGACACCCGGCAAATTCAGGCCCGGCCACAGCATCAAGCCAACCGCTCTACCCTTGCACGGCCTCGAGGTCGCGGCGGCCCGAGCAGCACAGACAATGCGGCCCCCAGGCTTGCGGTGCGGCCCGCACAACTGTATACATACTACTACCATTCATTCATCTACCTCACCAAATACTAAGAAAAGCTACGGCGCCGTAGCGTCGTCTTCGTCGAGGACGCCAATGAGGTACTTGGCGAGCGTCTTGCGCGCGTCCGTCGAGTGCCCAAAGAGCTCAAACAACGACGTTGCGTCCTTCCCAGCGTGGTTCAAAATGAAGTCGGCGCCGCCCGGGTGGTCGTCCGAGAACTTGGTGACGTCGTACACCTTCTTGGCACCCGTCTCGCCAACGACGATCCAGCAGTCGTCGACAGTCGTGTGGCCCGCGACTTCAGCCATCTTGTACACTGTGAGCGACGCCATATATCTTCTTCTTCCGACTCGTCCGTGGCCAAAGCAAGAATGGCTAGTCGGTGCGACGGGCCTTGGCGCGCTTTCTATGATGCGATATCCGCCAATCAGCGGGCGCGGCGAGACTGTCTCAAACTCAATCTCACACCAATTGAGTTTTTGAAGTCGAAACGGATACGTGCGGAAACTCAATTGAGTGGCAGTGGACGTTGACGGCACGGATACAAAGACGATGCACGTCGTTGACGACCGCGACACGGCGGCAGCGTCACCCGCGTTGGCTACCGGGTACTTGAGGAGGCAGCCCTCGGACGCCCACTGCGTCATCTTCACCGCGGTTGCTTCCCTTCGTAAGCAGGCGAGCGTCTCGGTCCAATAGATTTACCACCATCATTTTTGGCGCCAATGATGGTTGCTGCGCTGCAAGGACAGAGCACCACGTCATCGGTGTCATTTTGTCGTTCTGTCATTCAATAGCCTGATTCCGGTGCAGAAAGGATATGCGTGGAGCTGCAGCCGCTGCAAGCCTCTCGGGCTCATCTCGGTGTGGTGGCACCAATGCATCCGTCTCCTCCCTAGTGAGAACGCAACGGCGATGCGTGAGCTTGTAATCCATCAACGTCGAGCAGTAGAGAGTATATATGTGGTCACTATGAAACTAAAATCTACGTGGTGGGATCGACCTCGAGTTGCGCCGAGTCAATGAGGCGCTGGATCTGGAACTGCCGCGCGACGATCGGCCGCACGTCGTCCACGTGCGCGAGGCTCTCGAGGAACGGCAGCAGCTTGAGGAGCTCGTCGTCGGCTTCGTCCGAAAACCAACTCTCGATCGGGATCCCATTGTCGACTTGATACCCAAACGCATGCGGCGAGTTGTCGATCAAAAGCACTTGACTCAAGTCGCGTCCAAGCACGTTCAAGTCCTTGAGGTAGTTGCCTTCGACGGGCAGGCAGTTGTCGCGGTACAGTCGGTGCCTACGTCCACAGTTTTTAAGACAAGTTTTCCACCTTCCAGCGCGATAGCTCACTTGATGTACTGTCCGTACGGGTCCAAGAGGTTGAGGAGCGTCTCGGCGTACACGCGTTGCGACGCTGTAAACACCACAACCTCAAACCATTCCGACACTTGAGCCAGAAACTCGTTCATGTACGGCCGCTTCTTGACCGACACCGTGTATTCGGTCCCATTGTAATCAATCTAGTCGCAACGATGAGACTCAATCCCAACTCAAAACAAAAAACACGTACGGGAAACTTGAGATCCACGTCGGCCACATCATCGACCGAGCAATGCACGAGCGTCTCGTCGAGGTCGAGGACCTACACAGCGCATGAGAGCCAAGGCTATCGACGATAGAGGATCGTACGAGGCAGACTTTGGGCGACGATGCATCTTTTTTGGCAGCGCGACGGGCCGGACAAAGTCCTGGACGTCTTCGTACGCTGGCAGCGTCTTCATAAAGTAAAACCTACAGCCACAACGTTAGCATGGCGACATATATCGCGAGCAAGGGCGCACGGATTGAACTCGAGCTCGACCACCGTGTCGTCGGCGGCTTCCTCGACGGGCGCTTCGTCGGCGGCTTCGACCTCGACGACCGCCGGTGGGCGTGGCGCGACGCTCTTCTTGTCGACCTTGAGCGTTGGCGAAAAGAGGTTGAGGTCGCTCGTCTCGGGCGCACTGTCCGAGTCGTCATCGTCGTCCAAGTCGAGCTTGCGCGTGCACGTGTCGGCGTCGTCGGCGGGCTTGGCGGTCGTCGTCGATGTCGGTGCTACTGCATCGCGTCGGTCCATGGTCATATCGCTCGCTCGCGTGTACCTGGCGTGGCGACGCGCTGGCGCTTCAGCGGCGTCGAGGCAATCGGCGACGTCGGGTCGGCGTAGTAGCCGGCGCGCTTCTTGGTCGGGCGGCTGCTGGCGGCGGCGGACGGCGACGTCGACGTCTCGCCCTCGATCGCCATCGTTGCAGTGTGTGTGACCCTGTGAAACGCAGGCGCGACGCTTTTATTGAAATCGTTTATATTGTATACAAACAATAGGATATCGTTGCACAATACAATGACCATACACACACCAAGTGATTTCATTTCCATGGTTTGCATTCTATTGCATACATTCATCCAATGCAATAGAATAAAAAGCCACGAATTAGAAAAAGGCCAACCAAAAGGGCGCCACCGACATGATGGCGCTGTCAATAGATATAGATACCAGTAGATACACTGGTCAACGCTGGAAATAGCAGGCCAGCGAGCAGCGAGAGCAGAGGGCTCGTAGCCACACGCTTTTGATCTTCTCAATGTCAACAACAACAGCAACTTACCAGTCGCATGGTCTCTCTCAACACCTTACCCGCGACGTCGCTGCGCTGCATGCACGCGTGCGCTTACGCGCTCCATCTTGAAGACGTTGGCCACTAAAAGCCGGCAGCAACACGCCGACATGTTGCAGGCGTACTAGTACGCATCTCGGCTGCGTTGGCGCCATTGAAGCCTTCTGATCGGTAATGACGCTCATAGCCCTCGATGACGCCAAGAGAGCCACCGGCTTGGTCATGTGCTACTCTCAAGGCCCCGACAAGGACGAGAAGAAAAAGATGGCTTTAACTGTGGGAAGCGTATATACATATAGGAACGTGTTCCGCGTTATCTGGATTACAAAGGCTTCGAGTACTACGCCGGAATGCGTGGGAGTCGGCACCAGCACTTGGTCGTTGGACGTGAGCTGCGTGATACGGAGAGATGCACTCCGTGGTGGACCCCACTCGCCGAGGGTTGAAAGCGACGTAAAAACATTTCGCGAGGACGCTGGACAATATATCGCTAGGTGAAGACGGGTTCGACCCGCCACCGTCGTAGTGAGCAGCTCCGGATCGTCTCTCACTTGCGGCTCTTCGCCGCAGACGACGCTCGACATGCGCTCCGATACGGATGCACTTGGCTGCTCTCTTGGCGAGTCAGCCAAGATCCAAATCGTTGGTCCTGCCTTGACAGTGTTCTAGCTGTAAAGAAAATGGACGGCTTGAGTGACCGTACCAGCGGCTGGTGGCTGCCGGCAAGATCAATGTCGTGCGAAACAACGCGTAATTATGTCGGTGCCGTCATTCGACGCAAGAGTAATAAGAACTTAGCGTGTTCTTGTTGTCTGACATGTACTGGTGCGTCATGGTTTCGGTGGACGTGCGTTGATTGGCCAAGGTTCCTCAAGAGTACATAAGCTCGTGCTGTATCCCAAGCAAGAAGAGGACGTGGACGTGGAGCCGTCGTCTTCTTTGTGAGGGTGACACCCGGTTTAAATGGGTACGGGCGAGACTGCTTCGCCGAGCTTTGGTCGTTCGTGTCAGTAGAGCCTTGCAAATCTTCATGGCCGACGACAACCTCAACGGGACGGTTGCGAACGTGTCGCCCCTTGAAGCGAAGACGCCGCAGCCTCGTACGCCCACGGTTGCAATCACTCGGGCAGATCTTTCTTTATGGACCAGCCTCATACTATTGTCTAGCTCTTTCCAAAAAGGATTGGCTTTTCAACCGGTGCTACGGCAAGACCAGTGACTCGAGGTCACGGCCTTCAATAAATATCGAACGACCGTTGGCCCTGTCGAGTGGCATCCTGGGGCTGCGTGTTGGTTTCGTGGGGCAGCTTGTCCAACGGAAAGATCGTTTTTTCTTCTTCGGATTGGCTAAAAGGCAATGCTTTTCAAGCACGCACCGGTGATGATTGGTGTAATTTCGTACAATTCAACCAATGGCCTGTGTCCGAAAAGGCCATTGGCCAAAAGAATTTCGAGCCGTCGCGACGCTTGAACTATGCGGCTCATTTCCAGATCCATCCTGCGGCCATGAAGCACGTGTCCAAGGTTGCGCTTTTCCTCCTCGCCGCTGCCACGGCCGTCACGGCCATCGACCATGCCCAATGCGTCTCGTCGTGCCAGAGCCACACGGGCCGCCTGCACGAGAGCACGTGCGTGGGCTACCGTGACCGCCTCCCGCGCCCGGCGCTCTACAACAACTGCGTCGAGGCCTACCGCACGGGTACTGACTACAAACATGCCATCCTGCTAAGCGCAACCTGTGACGTAGGCTCGCGCGAGGCGTGCTCAGCATACTGCAACCAGGACCCGAACGCCGAGTCGCACCTCACGTCGACGGAAGCGATCACGTGCGACAAGTACCGCGCGGTGCGCCCCAAGGACAGCCAAAGCATCTGCTTGACGGCGTTTCGTGCGGCCATCAACTCGGCCAAAGTGTTCGTTGCCTCGAACGATGCCTTGTCGGGCTCGGGCTCGAGCTCGCAGCAAGCATCGGCGCCAGCGCCAGCACCCAAGGCCGAGAAGAAGCCGGAGCTCAAGATCAAGGACGTCAAGGTCGAAGGCAAGCCCAAGAGTATCTTGGAGGCGGCGCGCGAAGAGGCCCTCGCCGCGGCGCAGGCGAGCCGTGAATTGTAAAAACCTGTGGCAGCATCTACTCTCACTGCGAACATGGACCATCGTCTGTCTGTCTTGTACCATCGCTTTTGGCTGGATTGGGGTGACGCCATTCCAAGGGCTGTGTGCCCTGTGTCTCACGTCTGTTGTGTAAGTGCTGGTTGCTGGCAGCGGTCGGTGGTCGCGCCGCTCTTCGCGAGCTCGGCACGCCATGTCCCTCGACGACTCAAGCCCGTCGAGCTCCCAGTAGTGGCCGGCAAGGATAGGAACCCTGCCTCCACAAGGTTTCGTCGCCACGCGGCCCTCCGCCGCCGTCACCTGCCTTCCGCCCTCGCGTCGGTTAAAAGTGCTCGGTCGTCGGATGCAGGCTCGGACAGTTTTATTGAAAAGACGGCTTGCACTCCTCTCTCGGGTCGTTCGAGTACAGGAGCCTGCGTGCGACCTCGCGCGAGCTATCAAGACTCGGCGAGTGGGGTCCACCACGGAATGGATCTCTGCGCTCACTCTTAACGACTTGGTGCTGGCGCCCACTCGCGCGCACTCCGGCGTAGCACTCCAAGTCTTTGTAATCAAGATAAACATATACTAGTAAACGAGTAGATATAAAGATTCGGGATCTTGGATTACGTTGTTTGCTGGGGCCGACACATGCCGGGCTTCTTATTTGGTCCCACAACTTTGCTCTGCTTCCATAGCTCGGTCGATGGCTGCGAGGTCACTGGCGCTATCGAAGCAACGAGCGGGTTGGACGCCAGATGCACCCACCGATCCGCTCGCGTCGCCGGCAGCTCCGTTGTCGTCGCATACTGCATGAGCTCAAGGACCACGTCATAGCACTTGAGGGTTTGCGCGCTGCTTGCGTCCATGCACGCGGCGTCGCCCATGACGACGATGCGACCACCTACCCATCGCGATCAGTCCCATTCGATCGGGTGCCATTTCAGACCGCCGTCTGGGATCTGGTAATGGCCTAGAATCGGCACCGACTCCCACGCGGGCGTGGTCATTGGACGGCGCATCGTTGCCAGCGTGACATTGCGCAGCGGCGTGTAGTAGACGTGGCCGTCGACTGGAAACCGGACGAGCGGCGCACTCGAGACGACGGTGACGCCATCGGTGCGCGGCAGCGACGACCACACTGACGTGCCAAATGCAATGCCAAACGGCGCTAAGAGTGCGTTTATGGCAGGGACATTGGCGCCACCGACGACCGGTCGCCAGTAGCTCAGCGTGTTGGCGTCCCATAGCTCGAGCGCCGCCATCGCTGCCTCATTGTACCAGCCGCCGACAAGGAAGAGGGACGTGTTGGCGTGCTGCACGCTTGCGCGAAGAGAGTCTTGCTCGGCCTCGAACCACGGCTCTTCCGGGTCAACGACCAGGATCGCGCCGTACGACGCCAGTGACAGACACGTATAGTCGACATTTGCGATTTCGACGGCGTACCTACACCAAACCCTAACATCCCCACGACAACGAGGTGCGAGGACGCACCCTGCGTCGATCAGCGACAGCCAGAGGTCGGCAAAGTTGGTGTGCACATGGTCGCCGTGGTTGTCGAACGGGTCGACGCCGAGCACATCGTCTTTTGGAATGTACGCGGATGGGTACTGGAGGTTCCGGAACTGGTCCCATAAGATCTATACCCATTTCATATCCTGTAGGGAGACGTAAGGTGGCGTCTGATGGTTGTACGCGCTGGTGTTTGGGCGGCGTCGGCTGCAATGGAATGCGCAATGGCAGGTCGACGCTCCTTGCATCGGTGAGCGTCAGCCGTAGCCGGCCTTCGGCAAGAACCGGCGACGCGACGGGAATGGCCACCGACACATGGACGCCAATCGCGCCGGTATACGGGTGTATGACACGATCGGTGCCTGATGTCGTAATCGTCAGCAGATCGCCGTTAAGTCCGGGGAGCCACACGGGTGGCGATGCGAACCGACTGGTGGCGGTCGTGGGATGGACCAGCTACATATTTCATCGAGCCACTCTTTTTGTCCACAAAGGTAGTATACCGTAATGTTGAAGACGATCGGAATCGCGTCAAAGTAAAAGGCTTGGCGGCAATGGGGCCACATGTACGGACAGTCGGTGAGGTCGAGCGACGCGGGCAAGAGCGTCGGCCGCGGCGCCTCCTAGCCTCTGTCTGCTCGCACCTCCGTTGATACAGAGAGCGTGGCCACATCGATTACCATAAGGCTCTCCATCCTGGCAAGCGCCCGCGTCAGGTTGAGTCGTCCCGCGCCTTGTTCGTAGACGTGGTGCCACTCGTTGTGCAGACTCGAGTTGCCGCTACGAAAGGTGGTATTGCTACGGCCTTGTCCAAAATATGACTCTGCGTACCGCGAATGCGACGGCAGGCGGGACGCCGACTGCAGCAAAAGCGACTTGAGAAAGCCGACGTGGCCGTAGCGCAGGCGCTGGGCGGGTGTCATGGCCGAGAGCAAGAGGGCGATCGCTCCCGTGACAAGCGGCGCCGCCATGCTCGTGCCGTTGAGTGCCGTGCACGCGCCGTCACGGGTGGGCCCCAAGACGTTCTCGGCCAGCGCGACGACATCGGGCTTGACGCGGCCATACCTATGCCTCGCATGCGACTCTCCCATCACCATGCAAGTGTCGTAGCTACCCGACATCCGTCTCCCACGTGGTGAGGCCGCGGGACGAAAACGGTGCGAGCTAACGATTCATCCTACGACACGATTGCACTATGGACGAGGTTGTACGTGCGCCAAGTCGGCGGTGAGCCCGCCGACGCCAATGACATCCACTTGGTCGGCCGGGTTGGTCACGACCCCGTAGTACGGCCCCGTGTTGCCGGCGGCCGACACCTACCGCACCGTTGACGACTCTCGTAGGACATGCTATCACGCGTAGTACGACGATCAGGCCGTGGGCCGAGGCTTCCGCGATCTTGTCCACGAACGGCGTGTCTTTAAAATCGGGGCCACCGATGCTAAAGTTGAGCACATCGAGCTCGAGGAAGAGGGCGTAGTTGATCGCATCGAGGAACCACGACGTGTAGACGGCGCCGTCGGTGTTAAAGACGCGGAATGCGTAGATGGCTGCGTCCGGCGCGAGGCCCGGGCAACCGTCGACCACGCCGCCAATGACGCCGGCCACAAACGTTCCGTGGCCGTTGCCATCCGTCAGCTACGCTTGGTACTGTCCATGCTATTTGGCTGCAATTCTTACGTCGTCTTCGTCGGTCCAGTTGGAGATGTCGTGGACGTGGCGAAAGAGTGACCGCGACGACGGTGCGAGCCCGGTATCAAAGATACCGACCTTGACGCCTTGGCCTGCGACGCGACGAGATAGATGCAAGTCGCAGCATCGCGCGGGAGGTCGTGCTACCTGTAATGTTGCGCGCCCAGAGCTCGGCGACGTGGTCGATGCCGTTGATGGCGCCTATGCGATGCTATCAGCCGCCGATTTTGACGACCATATCGTGATGGCCCACCGAGCGCTGTCGGCGGTGGCAGCGACGGTGGGTCAGCTGTCGCATCGGCCATTTCCGATTGCGGTGCGAGCGACAGGCGCGTGTTGCGGCTCAGCGACTTGAGGCCATGGGCGTGCAATCGCAACGACGCCAGCGCGTCGGCGCGCGACGGGCCATAGCGGCGCGGATCCAGCGACATACCGCGCGGTGCCACAGGCGATCGGAGCTGCCATAGCACAAAGTCGGTCGGGTAGGCGGGTGCGCGATGGCGTACGATGCGCCTGGATCGTGGCGTCGGACGCGGTGGCCGCGGCGACGTTGGCGCTGTGATCGGCCTCGGGCGCATACGACTCGAAGACTACGACGTACTCGTCGACGCGCGTGGGCGCCAAGTGCCAAGGAGGCTCAAGACGACATTGCGGCGATGCGAGGCCGAGGCCAGCGAGGCCGACGAGACCTGCGACGCGCAGCATGACCTGCCCGAGCTCGCTCACAATGTGCTAAATTCGGCATATGCCACAGGAAACATCCAGTGTCTTGTTTTCGGCATCCGAGACGCCGAGAGAGCGTTCCCGCGGTGCTCTGCTCTGCTCTAGTTTTTAGTTCAATGTCAATATTGTACAATGCCATTGCAAACCCTAGGACACTACGTGCAACGATCAATTCGAGTCCTTCTGGGCAAACATGAGCCACGACACCCTAGCACGCCACGATACCTATCCCTAACCCCAGAGAGTTCAAGCTTGAAAAGCGGTTTATGGACCGCGCTGCGAGGCGTTGCGAGGTGGTCTGTGGGTTGACGCCTTGTCGGCATCAGTCGTGTTGTTACTGGAGAAACTGCGATGCACGACCTGTTTGCTACCGCTCAGCAGTCCGTCGACGGCGTTGGCATCCCAACCCAACAACTCATTTCGTGAAAAATTCTACCGGTTCGATCGTTGCATACAGTACAAGTTACCTCACAAGAGGTAGAGAAATGCTGTGGTCGGGTCGCGTTGCCGCCACATGAGGATCATCGCATCCGTGCCAGGCCCAGGCGAGAGCAGGATCGTTCCAAGGTATGCGCTCAGCATCGCGTTGTAGGTGGCGTTCATCATCTCCTTGAGGCCACGCAGCATCATTGGGAGCGGCGCCATGGTCTTGCCTCGCGCGTAGTACTGCACCAAGCCGATGACCAAGTCCACGCTAAAGACCGCGACGTGTGTCAAGACGACACCCGCCGCCGCCGTGTACATGATG